ATTATTGGATAAGTTCAGCTTTTTTCTAATTGAGAATCATTGTTCAGGTTAAAGTGGCTTCAACTAGGTTTCAGGAAACCCTTGCATCAGGTCATCAGGTGAATAAATGAAGAGCTCTTTTTTTTCAACATTTCAACAGAAGGTTTTCTTCCCTTTTACTGTGCAGAGTCTTTAAAGAGTGACTGGCATTGTTCAGGCAGTGCCCAGATATTATGTGGTGGAGCTTATGCCAGACAGCAATGGGGCATTGAAGTTGCTGTTGATTCATCAACATGGATGAAGCAAATGAGATGGAGGTAACTTAGCTGCCATGTAATACTGACAAGCATCTCCCAGCTGATGACAGGCAGTGGTATGGTGGTTGTCTCATCCTGTATACTACAGGTTAGTTGTTTAATGAAACCTTGGTATCTAGGCTAGGCTTTGAAACTGAAGTTGCTTTCTCTTTTCCTGCCAGCTTGGAACCAGTATGAAAGAAAGCTAAAATAGCTGAGGATACATATGGTCTGGAGACTGGAGATGAAATCGAAGAAACGGAAAGATGAGGAAAATATGCCAAAAACTCGAAAGTTGCTGTGTTCCTCCAGGAAATGAAACAGGATTTGCAAAAGCGGGTTCCATCAGTTGGAGAGTCATCAACTAAGAGTTCAGATGCTATATTTTGAGCAGGGACCTGCCAAATCCTACAGCACATCCATGTGTGGAATTATGAGAACCTTATGCCACACAGTTCCTCAACCTTTCTCCAACTCCCTTCATATTCTTAGAGTAAGTTCTCTTCATTTATCCAAGTCCCTTTCTGGTCTCTAGTTTGTCCCATAAAACCCTCTACATTCACTTCAAATTGGGTACTCTCTCCCTATACAGTTTTTTGTGGAGGTGGAACCAAATCAGCAAATCTCAACTTATATGGGGGCTAGGCTTAATGAAGACAGCAATTGAGGAGTTCTCTGGAAAAGGGCCATATGTGCCCATATGCCCTTAGGTATGATGTGCATTCAATAAAGGAGAAGCAGATTTTCCTATGCTCTTACTATATAGCAGGCCAACTGCCTGGCAATTTCAATATGGCTGTGTGCATGAATATTCCATTAGCACTTGAGTGATAAACGATTTTGGTGGAATTATTTTCATCCTTTTAAACTGAAAGTGAAAATGAAGAAGAAACTAATCGTGAGGAAGGGGGAAAAAGAGACCCAGTCATTCAAGCCTCTGGAAGGGTATGAGAAGGTAGAGATATCCATGAAATAGTTGAAGATTCAGATGATGAATACATTAATACTGGATCAATGCTGAGTAATTGGCAAATGGGACGTGTCCTGAATATTCACATTTTCCTTGTTATTTTTTAAGGAAGTTTTTTTTAATTCTGTAGACTCATTTATTTATTAATTATTATTTTTAACAGGAAAGAAGTGGTGAAAAATTCTATGGAAAAGTTTCAGCAGTGCAGATATGGAAAAAGGACGTATGCGCATGAGCACTTTCTGCCGGCATCATAGAAATCTAATATATATAGACGATCGTGTCTGACTGACTGACTGACTGACGCTAATTCTACCCATGTTCTAGAAGGGTTAGAAATATGAAACTTGGTACACATGTACCTTTTGGGATGTAGAGTTCTGAAAAACTCCGACTTTGGATGTACATGCCCTGGGGGTACACATTTTGGGGGGAAACGTTTTTCTTAAAAATATTTTGCTCCAGAAAAACCTTTGGGTAGAATGTTCTGCATGACATTCTACCTGAACGATGATGACCTTTTCTTCCAAGACAAAGCATTTCCTGACACAAATTACTCCCGAGTTGATTGAACGCACCAAAATGGCATCCGAATTCCCCGACTGTAACTCGCTGTTCCATCTGGGCAACTCTCTCAGAGGCTTTCAACAGGAATCGGGTTGAGAAATTCTCGTATTCGCTCTCCTTAAAGCAAGGTATCACTCTTGTCTGGGAATTGGTGTTTAATGACGTCATGCGGATATCTATTCTCCAATGGAGGAATGGACTGTCGACAGGTAAAAAGGAGGCCCGATCGTCCATCACTTCGAGTGAAGGTTAGTACCGGAGAACGAGCGAGTGCGAAAATAAAATTCCAGTGTCTTTTTTTTTAATCTCTCATTCGGAAATGTGGCTCGATGAAAATGAACGAGACTTAAGGAATCTTCAGGGTACAGGAATTAGCAAAGAAAAAGTATTCTCGTTTTATCTGCAGTCTACCAAACGCCAAATAGATTCAAGGAGCGGCGTCACCCGGTACATTTCGTGTAGAGGCCTTATTGAAATAACGAGTGAAACTTTTCATAACTTTACAGAAATACTCTTTTTAAATGGAGGATCTTCGAAATAATACAATACTAGTGGCCGCTACGCTGGCCGTCAAGTATGTGGAAATTTGAATCGTCTATTGTGAGCATAACGTCTTCTTGACAATACTCTATTCATTGCATTACCCATTCAGAACTGAACCGCTTCATTACATTTATACACATTTAACTTACAGTACACAGAAGATTCTGCTCCTAAACACCATCAACATGATATTCCAGCTGATTGCCACAATCACCATTATGAACGCCTTGGTTTAGCACGTTTTCAAGAGACTCAAGACGACATTGCTGATATCGTCTTCCTAGCACGTTCAACACTCTTGCATTACCGATTAGCTCATCGGCTATTAGCGTAAGCGTATGGAAAAGACACAAATGATTCTGAAACAGTACTGACCGTTTCCAAGAACTTGTTCGACGGCACAGAGGGATGTTAGTGCATGTGCGCCACAATACTAAAGACTAATTCCTGAAAATGCAAACATTGCATTTTCAAGTTGCTTAGCTGGATGCACGGCTCTCCTATTCCGAAGCTCAGCAATCGCTGCCTCTTGCTGTTCAGCGGTCTGAGCGGCCCTAAGCTCCCTACGTACATGTGCTTGCTGCATATCACCGATTCTAGCCATTACGGCTAGCACCGATTTAGGCACTTCGTACTGCAACTGCAGTGGCAAACGTTTTGTCCACGCCAGTACCAACCGTTTTTTTACCAGCAACAACTGCCTCATCGCCGTCCTGGGGGACCTCCTTCAACATTTTTCTTCGTGTTTANGGCATCCATAGTTTGCATAAACGTTGGCGTGAAGTGATAGAGGCCAATGGTGATTACATTCATGATTGAGATGATTTTGCTTTTAAATAAACTGGGTTGTAATAATTGTTCATGAAATTCCAAGAACTTTCTTTCCAATCAGATACTTGGAGTTAGATAATGCAGAGATATGAAAATCCACTCTAATCAGGAATAATGCAGTTTTCTCCAACAATGAAGATATTATATCTTGGCACAGTTTTGGAGCACCATTGTCACCTTGGAGGAAGCAGTCATTTGAGTCACCTCTGGTTCCATCTTCTGCTACTTATCAGATGCCTTATCCCCCTCCTTATCCATATGATGCAACTGTGCTCTTCAGTTCTTCACCATTCCTTTTTCTGGCCACATCAGTCCTGAGCAGCATCAGTCATCTTTCCAAGTTACATCACCTGTGCTTTGGCAACAAGATTCCAACTTCCTTCTCCTCCTTGATATCATATTTGGTTTGTGTTTGGAATTTTATTAATATTTTTTTTCTTTGCAATTACTTTGAATTTGACCTGTTTGCATCACCATTACCGACATTAATTTTTTTTTTAAAGGAGGTTTTGGCAGCAGTACCTCTAATTGCACTATAAGAAAAAAATAGCATATTATAATAACTCTTAAAAAATGAAAATGCCTAATGTAATGGGGATAATCTGAAAGAATAAAAAATGGAGTCCTCTTCAGAAAGCCATATCTATTTATTCTTGCAGTCTGCATCTAGAATTGGTCTGTGATTGTGATGTCAAGGTGCAGATGCATCTCTTTCTGATTAAGTTCCAGTCCAAGATGACCATCAGAAGATCAGTCAGCAGAATTTGTACAAAGTGTTTTTACAGGAGAGGCCATGCTGAGCTTGAATTATAATTGTATGCGATCTAGAACACGAGAAGATTCTATATTCTTTGCTTGTACCACAAATTCAATAAGTGACAGGTGGGATAAGTGAATGAAATTAGTGATGGAAAGAATGAAACGACTCTTTAATTATGCTTATGCCATTTACAACCCAATCTGCATGGCAATATTGACTCAGCGTTTATAATATGTTGAGAGGGTGTTGAGACTGATGATTCAATGCATAGTCAAAATTACACCAATTCCCCTGCGGGAAATCTTGTAAGACATTCGAACAAAGGTGTCCTGATCCCAATGTGAGATGGCTTGAAATCACTAACATTGGGATTTACCTCATAAATAAAACTGGTATGCATCCCAAGTACTTTTGGAATGATACTTAATTTTTCTTAAGTGAAAGGAGATTGAGACAATTCCAGTTATTAGTATGGAATTCAGATGCAAATTTCAGTTTAATTATATCTTTACTTGCTGATTTTTACTGCTCAAAGGACTGAGGGTATTATCAAATAATGTTTTAAGTCAAAGTCTTCCAAATTCTTCACTGTTCATGCTATATGGTATGCATTCATGTGTGCACTTTTATACATATCCATCTTCCTATATTATGTATATGTAATTTTGTGGGCTAGTTACTTTGGTATGAAAGGGTTTGGCTTTAATTGTGGCCACACACCATCACATGAATTTAAGAAATAAGAGGTCTCAGGAAGTTAGAATGTTTTGATGTGAGAATGGAGAGTTGGTTCTATGCTTAGGGACCCTGGCTGAAGCCTACTTGTGAGTGTCAAGTCTAAATTGCCTGCTGGTTAACAGGCAGGGCCAACAGCACAAAGGTTTAATTTACAAAAATTCGAAAGGGTTGAGTTCTATTGGTTGATCATTACCCATCCATGAACTGACAGTTCCCTCCCTACATAATATTTCACCCATGGCCACACACTGGAGGCAACACACCATAGGACCTCATTTGTGGTTTTTATGAGTGCAGTGGGGGGTAATTGGGAAAAATGAGCTTTGATACGCTGGATCACCTTGTCCCACCTGGTGCCATGCTGATGAAACAGAACACACAGCCATAATTTAATGATGCAAATATTGCAATTTGTCATTGCAGAGTCGACATTCCAAGTGACCCTGGAAAAGACGGCCCAAGGCCTGGGGGTGAGCGTGACTGGGGGGAGGGAGGCGAGGAACCACCGCTTGAGAGGATTTTTCTGGATCAAGAAGGTATTTCCGATTACCCCGGCATGGGAGCAGGGGATCCTTACCCTTGGTGACATCATCCTCAAGGCTAATGGAATCCCATTGATTTGGCTCACAGTTCCTGTTAGATTTTGATGCTAGCATTCATTCCTACCTGATGTCATTTGCATGAATGTAATGTAGAACTTTGATTTTCAGCTTTAAGTTGTTTAAACTTGTAGGTTTTGTGTTGAAGTTTGACCAGTACACCATGGCAATACTGGATTGTGTATCGTAGCTTAGTTTCCTTAATTTATCCTACAATTAATTTTACAAGGTGGTTGTTCATTTTGAACTTTCTCTATTGTCTAACATGTCCCACTTGGGACCTCATTGTGTAATGATGAGGATGGCATTGAGAGGCATGATTGAGTGTCCCGGGTTTGGTGGTGTAGTGGTAGCACACCTGACCGGCAATCAGGAGGCCCGGGTTCGATTCCCTGCAGTCCCCTGGCTTTCTTTCGTCCTCTCCTGCCATCCAATCTTCCGGCCATTCTCATCACAATTGCATGCATTTTTGCAGTCACAGGTCAAGTGCTGGTTACACGATAAGATTTCCAAGAATTCATTTTCATGTCTTACCCATCATTTTTATTCTATTACCCTGATGCCTTAAATATGATATGCTGGATTCTTGGAATCCAGCATATCATATTTTTTTCTGAGCCTTCTCAAAAGACTAGAGATGTCTTTAAAATGCATGTAAACATTATGGAGTAGAAAATGAGATTTGTCTGGCCTTCTCCTGTAGGAAGCCCTTGAGATCTTGAGAACGGCCCCATAGCAGACAACGCTGATGGTGTATCGCCTTCCATATCACTTTTCTCTACTTTTGTCAAGCGAGACAGATCCCTTGTCACTCTCTCTAAGTCAGAAGCAGTCTCCATCGGGTCTCCTCTCACCATGTGGGGTGAGTTCCTTTGATTTTCAATTACTCATAATATCAGGAAAATACTAAATTAAAGGAACTCATCAGCCTACATGAAAGCATTGGGTGCTTGGGGGAAACAAATAAGTATTTTCCTGGTTTTGATTAATTGGTGGTCTTTCCTACTAGCCTTTGTCCATATTTTTATGTTTTAAACCATATAATGTTTCATAAAAAGTTAGGACTTCACTCCGGTTGAATTGCAAAGATGTAACATTTTTTGTTCCCATTCTTTCAGTTCCTTTTGTTAGCCAACAAATTGTTTTATGGAGTGTTCTCCACTGTGTAATTAACTCTTTTTTAATGGCAACTGATGAGATTGTGGCAATTCTTTGAACAGGTTTTTGAGCTTGGGGAACTTTGGAGTTTTACTGTAAAGTAAACTTATGTGAGGTTGGATGCCCATTGCCATCATTTGACGCATAAACTGGCCACTTGAAGCCATTATTGTGGACAATTTTAAATGTATATTGCAGAGAACATGGTCTACATGCAGCTTTATTCTCCAATTTAATGCCTTCTTTCATTTTTATGATGAAATTCATGAGTCATCGTCTTTCTATGAATGAATAGAAGAATTTTCTATCTCATTTCGTATCAGTACTCATTTTGCAGAGAATATTGAGGTCTAGAAATGCAATACTTGGATATATTCTTTTTGGAAATATAGAAATAGGCACTTGTGAATGCTTGGGAGTTAAAGGATTTGCCTAACTAGAGCAGCTATGCCATTTTGGTCTAATTCATCTATCAGGACATCCCTCTTTCAGCCTGTGCACATGATGATTGAAATGGCTCGTGTGAATTTTTCAGGAAAGAAGCCTGTGACATGTTAAGCAATCTGTCAGTGCAGAGAAGTGATTCACCTAGTGGATCTGGGACAGGGTCTCGCAAGGGGATGCTGACTCATTCGTGGATCTTCATCTAATCAAGACGATGATGGCGAGTCTTTCAGTCCTTCACCGACAAGAAGACGCCGGGCTCCACCCATGCACAGAGGTGAGCTTGGTGCACTGGTGTGAATTGTGTACTGAACTTGAGGGAGATATTCTGTGGAACTGCAATAAGTTGCTGAATGTTGAAGTCAAAATTTCAGGCAATCTGAAAGAGATATACTTATGAATGCAAATGGCTTGTTCTGGATTAAGCCAGGTAACTTCCCTAAATTGTAATTAGTTTAGAGCAGTGGGAATCCTCCTGTTTTTATGTCCTGGTCAAATTTGGTAGATGAGGAAATCATTAAATTCTGAGTGTTCAACTTATCTTTTTCCATGTCTGGAAATTAACAGTTGTGGTATTTAATTTTCTTGGCAGATGCAAGCACAGACAGCCCAACACCAGAGATGTTTGGTTCTCCACCTCGCCCTACAAGCCTCGACCTGGCATCCCCTTCTTCACGGTCGTCCAGCCTCCGCCGGCAGCAGTTCATCCTTCCATCCCCGATCCTTGGTGACAGCCCAGATCACAGCCTTGCCTCTCTGCCTCCAGAGATTGAGCCCTCTAAGAAATTTCAACGAAACCACGAGTACATGTCGGCCAACTGGAACGAGAGGAGTCGAGGGGGTAAGACCAGTGATGGGGACATGGGACTCCTCAAGTGTAGAGGGACTGTCTTCAATGAGCCTGATGATCACATTGATTGGCCCAATGATGCTGAAGATGTAGTTGAGATAGGGATCTCTCCCAGCGGTGACGTAATGCCCTTGCATTCTCTCTTTAGTCCACACTTCTAGAATTTTAACTACTCAATGGAGAATTTGTTAAAGGAAAAGTTCTCTTTTATAAATGAGGAATTTCAAAGTGACTTCTTTGTAAGGCTTTGCCAAACCAGTTGGGGAATAATTATGAAAGCCACTGACAAAAGAATTGAAACATTTTGGGATGGAAATCATGAAACAATTTTCAAGAGTTACCCATGACAGTGCAGCCCTGCTTTGAATTATGAGCAATCTTTCAGACAAAGAGTTGCTGTATAGATGTAATTACCGTATTTAGTTGCATATAAGGCGCTTTTTTTTCATGTTTTATTGTGTTCCATGAGGGGGTGCATCTTATACTCAAGGAAAAAATTTAGCTTTTTCGAGAAAAAATTTTTTCAATGTACCTATAACTCATTGATCACTAATTTGGGGCAGAAACTGTCTGCAGTCAGTCAGAACAGGAGAAATATAATAATTATAAAACAGTAAACAGGGAGTGGCTACGTTGATTCGCGGACAAAGGAAAAGTTCTCTTTTATAAATGAGGAATTTCAAAGTGACTTCTTTGTAAGGCTTTGCCAAACCAGTTGGGGAATAATTATGAAAGCCACTGACAAAAGAATTGAAACATTTTGGGATGGAAATCTTGAAACAATTTTCAAGAGTTACCCATGACAGTGGAACCCTGCTTTGAATTATGAGCAATCTTTCAAAGAGTCACTGTATAGATGTAATTACTGTATTTACTCGCGTATAAGGCGCTTTTTTTTTGCATGTTTTATTGTGTTCAATGAGGGGGTGTGTCTTATACTCGAGGAAAAAAGTTTGCTTTTTCGAGAAAAAATTTTTTCAATGTACATATAACTCATTGATCACAAATTTGGGGCAGAAACTGTCTGCAGTCAGTCAGAACAGGAGAAATATAATAATTATGAAACAGTAAACAGGGAGTGGCTACGTCGATTCGCAGACTTCATTCAGTATTGGAATTGGAGTCTGAGGTGTCTGGCAGCGTGGAAAATCGATTCGCGGAAGCTCACATCCTCCTCCAAGGGGCCATTCCTGAGACAATAATTTCTCATGGAAAGTTGCTGACGTTTTGTGACGAACAGAAAATCCAACTTGCTCATGAATCGCGTCGTTCAACCTCATGATGCATTGAATTTTCAATGGGAGATCCCGTTTGCTCTCAAAATCGTACGCGTGCACGTCTCCATCACTCTCAGTCACTCCCTTCTTTACCAGAAATGATTCCTTTTTCCCCACGAAAGGCCATGAGATTCTTTAGAGCCTGGCTTAATTTCGCCTTCGCCTCCGTATACAACTTTCCTCGATGTTATACTTATGACCTATTGCACGGATGCCCAACTCCTTCGCTTCCTGAATCACATGGATTTCTCTGCAGCTTTGTTATTTCGCTGTATATTTCCATCCGTTTTCACAGATAATAAAGCAAACGTTAGGGATACTGTGCCCCCCCTCGATAAAGGTCAGGACAGTGAATAAGAAACGAGGTTCGACCTACCTCAAGACCGGCTTTACCCCTCATTCATTTCCCTTGTCCGACACTTTTCGCTACAAAATAGGGGGCCTTATACGTGGGGAATCTTTTTTTACACAAATTGGGACCTCAAAAGCAGGGGTGCGTCTTATACATGGTGGCGCACTATAATGGAGTAAATACAGTACTTATGATGACTCTCTAGAACACTGACTTTGCTGGAAACCCCTTATTGAAAAGAGAATGACCTGGTCCAATGCTGGTCACATTGGTAACATTACTGGATGGATGAAGAAAGCTTTGATAGTGAATGTCAAGGTCATTGTGCATCACTGACTCATCTGGTGCCTTTCTGTTTTTGTTGGCAGATGTTTCAGGTGGAACTGCACCATGGCTGGAACAGTAGGCTGGGGTTTGGGGTTTAGTATTGGCAAGACCATCCCTGAAACTTCATGGTCCAACAAGGAACATAATGCTGTGTGAATATTTTGTCAGCATGAGACATGAACTTATATATTCAAAATAACAGGCTCAATGTTGGCTGCTTCGATTTTTCCATATTATATGGGATGTTGAGATTTAAAAATATCTTGAACAGCTAACAGCTATTTTTAAAATGAGAACTCATCAAATATTAAGCTAGCCACTGCATGCTGCATTCAAAATATCCAGTCCAATATACATATATGATTATTTGTTGTGGCAGGTACAATATATGGATAATTTCATTGCATTCCATGCCAATTCACAGTGAAGATTCCAGTAGTGGCTTGAGCTAGGCAGTTCATGCTCATAGTGAATAATTATCCATTATTCAAATGCTTCTGTGATGTCTAAATTTCAAAATAATTGGAAGAGCAGCAGTGGCACTCTGACTCAACCCTTGCATGTAGATTGATCGTTGCCACCATTCCCCCAATGCTCAAATTTGTTATTCACACCACAGGTCAATGGAGAGGATGCATCCGGGCAGGAGATGGAAGCTGTGATAGGTCTGTTGCATACGCTGAGGGGCCACATCCACATGGTGCTCGGCCGACCGCAGACCGCCTCCACTTCGTGACCTTTTGCACCTCTGCCTTCCACTGTGTCTCGTCCATAATGAAAATTGGGATAGTCTTCCTCCTGTTCTCCAAGATCTAGAGGTAGATCTTGCAAGCATGTGCCATCGAAGCTATAAACAGTTAAGGGGATGCCAGTGGAAGGGTACAAGTGATCTGTGCTGCTTTTGATGAATATTGAATATATTAGTCTGTTTGCCATACTGTTCATTGACAGATCAGTTCCATAACACGTCCTCCAGTACACAAGATGTGGGTGTGCTTGTGTTGGAATGCTTCCCCTCTATTCACATTAGTGAGATTGTACTGGTGGTGAGAAAGGTGTCGCTTTAATGTGTCAGAGTCCACTGTTGATGAAACTAAGGGAAAATGTATGGTTTCCTCCTGTAAGCAAATAGATAATTTTAGTAGCCATTAACTAGTAAGTAATAATAATAAGTCTAGTGGGTCATGAAGACCCCTCTAACAAGCACCTAAGCACGAGAAGGGAGACTGGCAGGGGAAGCCTTTCTGTTCCACTCTGGATTCGCGAATCCATTCCTTTCCTCTGCCTTGCGAAGTAGTCTCGGCTGGATTGGGATCCCAGCCGGATGCTCCCGAAATCGACGTCTGAGGGAAGGGAAACCCAATGTTCGATTTTACTTAATCCATCTGCATCAAATGATGTACAGGTACTTCCCGCTGCGCCTTTTCCGTTTTACCGAATACGTACTGGAACGCTGAGTTCTTCGTGCGACTATACCTCAGGAACCGCTGAAGCTAAACTGAAGAGAAAAAAATTTGTTGGTAGGACACAGTCTCCTTTTCCTTAGTTGCTTAGTCCATTGTCTCACAACGTCAGGGAGAGACGAGAGGGGCCGCGGAAGAAGACCAAACACTTGCGTAATAACCGCTGTCGAGCGTTAAGAGAGGAATTTGAGAGAAAATGTATCATGTTTATGGTTTAATCTAGCTTCAGGTAGCCCATTTTATGGGATTGTGAGTTTTTATGATGATGATGGGTGATAATTATGATGAATAATTGGAATTGGATGCTGAAAACGATTCGGATAGGGATTCAAGTGATGCGACTGAGACTGAAACGAGTGAAGAGAAATCCTTCCATTGAATCTGACCTTTATGAATCGAATCCATATCCCCCCAGAGCTTAAAGTTCCAAAGACAGGAAAGAAACTGAAACGGAAAGACACCCAATTGAACCTTGCAACCGTGATACCTTTCAGTGGACAGCCCCTAATCAATCAGGCAGCAATGAACGCTGCAGCAAAAAAGGCATAAATAATTCGTTGTTTCTTTAGTGACTATTTTGAATCACATAGTGACCGAAAGTAGCCACTTTGCGAAAGGCAGTTTCACTACAAACTTCGCTGCCTTTGACGAGGGTTAGGGTCCTGACAGGAGGGTTATTAACGTAGGGCCTGTGCGGCTCGAAGATTGGATCCGGAGTGCGGGGATCTCCAGAGAGTTATCAGGAAAAGTATCAGGAATGGTTATCTGCGAAGGTTGCGATGCTCGGAGAGGTTCGTAAGAGTGACCTCTGTGATCGGGAGCAGGAAACCCGTCTAATAGTTATTGCTGACTCCAAGGTGTAGACTCCTCGAATTACTTAGGACTCTGGGTTTATATAAAAAGGTGCGTAATCGGACACTACGCACAATTTATCATACAAGAAAACAACAGGGATATGTGAATGGGGTTAGTAGCAAATAACAGCCTCACGCTGATTGGGGGACCTCAGGGTCGTCCTCGTGCGTCCTAGTGCGTCCAAGTTGTCCGGAGGAGGACCACCGTCACCACAGTTCCTCCATAGTCCGCACTGTCCTGTGCGGCAGCTGCGTGCAGGCTCGGCACGGCTTCACGCGTACGGTCCGTGCGTCCACTCACGATGCCTCTCGGTGACTCACTGCCGAGGGAGCGCTCAGGGAAAGTAGGATGTAGTGGCTTACTATGCGTATGAGGGAGGAAGTTCTTTCCTCAGTAATCATTATGTCATTCCCTGCGAGGCTCGAGGAGGACTCCACACAGTCATCTCCAAAACACCGTGGAAATGGAGCTTCAAATTTGCTGGAGCGATTCTGTGTTGACAGAGAAAGGAGTATGCCAGATTTCGTTTCTCTTTATTCTCTCAAAGTGGAATACGAGACGGTTGAATTCCCCCCCCCCCCGAATGGGTTGAAGGGAGGTAATGGGCTCTACCACGTCTATTGATGTGTCCCAAACTTTGAATTCAAATCAATTTTGATGAAGACAAGCGAAAGGAGTCTAGGACAGGCAGTGCTGAATTCTATTATCCTAAAGTTAATGCACGTAACGTTTTTTACTTGCAGACCAACTAACATGACACACCTGCTAGGGCAGAAGCAGCAGAATGCATAGTTCTACATGTTAATTACCTGATCCTGAGCTATGAACTTGGTAAAACGGTCAAAACCGTACTGTGATATCTGTAGATCATGTCATGGTAAAAATAATCTGAACTGCTTGGTTTCCAGCGTTACAGACATACAAGAAAGATTGATTGGCTCATGCAAAACATACCATTTTCCAACCAAGGGTCTAACATGTCCAAATACAGTGCAGTCACACATTCTGATTGAAAAAGATACCATGCGCAAAATTCGCGAAACCTTTTTCTTTGGAATTTTCTTGCTTTTTGTGTATTTCTGATGAAATCACCTCTGAAAAAAGCAGGACATTAGGGGAGCCTGGAATGCTCACCGTAATAATTGGAAGGTTCAATTCCATTCTAGAATTCATGAACCACTTGGGTGGTCCAGATTTGACCTGGACTTCATTTTCCGCACATTTACAGAAAGGTCACTGCAATGGATGCTATTTTCCATATTTTTTAATGTAGTCCCCTGCTACACTCACACCCGAGACTTATACACCCATCTAGTGGCTTGGAGGAGAAATGTATCATATCCCAAAAACTTATAAGTGCAACTTGGGCATATTGGATCATCGTGTCGGTCCGATGATGAAATGCCAATATTGGGGAGCCAATATTTAGCCGATATTGGCTATATTGGCCAAGGTGAAGCCAACGTGCCCAACGCTGGCCCAACATTAAGCCAGTATCTGGAGCTACTAGGGAAACTGGCTTGATTACACATCTTGGATAGATAATCAATCATACCTTGGTAAAATCGTCTCTGGGGCTTTTCTTCTTCACTCGGGATGAATAAAAGTACGATATCAGTTCATCCAAGACTCAGCGGAAGTATGTAAGTACTATCTGGACGAGAACGATTTAACACACACGGCGCCCGAATGAAGAGAATCGGCCTTCTCGTAAGATAGCAAAGGAAACTTGCACATCATAACGTTTCCAATGAGTACAGGTGGCAAGAAAATGTGGAACCCATGTCGTCAAGTGAATAGTAGAACCATCATGCCACAATCTCCGGGCCGGAATTCCCTGATATATCCCCGGGCTGGGTTACATCCTGATAGAAATGAACTGAGGAATTCCATTGTCTTCCTCTCAGATCAATGTGGGAAACCGTTGGGAAATGTGTCTAAGATACAGAGGTCTCTTGTCAGTTGATTCAGGGAAGTGACTCGCTACTACGAACACTTAAGACTCTATCTCACGCCGGTTTTAGGTATCTTCTCGGCCTCGCTACGGCACGATTATGAGTTGGCTATCATTTGCCGAAGATGAGGCAACATCCCGTCTTTGGCCCGACCATGAACTAAGGAAAAGTTTTGTCCGAGTAGAAATATCTGGATCGGCAAGGGTTAAGTATGTACGAATTGCTGCGGAAATAGGTGAATTTTCGCTTCTAAAATTTCAGGTAGAACCCTCTTAGATTGAGGTGACGATTTGTCTAAATCATCCAATTAAGTAGTTTGATTTGTAGGCGCTGCGCAGACAATGAAGCTGCCGCTAGTCCCTTGACAGATGGCACGATGAACTAGGCTGTTTTGGAGACAGGCTATTCTGGTTTGAGAGAACAGGAAATTGATGGTACTTGCCAGAGGCTTGACTATTAATCAATCACCGTAACAGAGGCCTACGTCGAACGGCTCTGGCATCATCTCCGAGTGGGGTTCAGTATTGGGAAAAAATTCACTCTGGGCGGTTCCTTGTGTTTGCGTGACAATAACATGGAGAGACAATATATCATAGTCGTTGGCATGCGTGAAATGCGTGTTTTTGATGTCGATTGCATTGAGGCAGATGTTACAATCTTTACCTGAAATTCATCCTATTCCATCATCTCCCGCATCATTTGCGTCTAACGTCTGATGTTCAGTATCTCGATCTCGGTTTTGTGTTTGACGAGATCGTTGCGGCAAAGTTTTTTCAAAGGGAAAATTTGCTTCTCTCCTTTCTAATTAGGTACTCTTCTGGTGTCTTCGCGAAAATTCGAATTTCGATCGGGTGTTTTCCATTCGCAACTCATGCCATGTCGTAATTTGTCGGGCCACGGTCTTCCATTTGGTGGCATTACTAAACATGCATCTCTTGGGGGATATCTTGTGAATTGGTGCATTTACCTCAAGTTGCTCTCACCATACGCGCATGTCCTACAGAGGTACCATGTCGGGGACCAGAGAAGTCCATGATAGGGCTCGCATTTCTTTGGAGTTCTGCCTCATGAGTCAGTCGTGAGACCTACAGGGCCTGCATGAAAGCCAGCACCATGGGAAAAGTGGATATAGAGTGTATTTTTCTATTGGAGATGTTCAAAGCGTTGCGACCAATCTTCTCCACAACTCAACAGGATCAACTCCAGTGTTTCTTCTTTCGACAGAGTCATTTCAATTCAATAACTCACCTGTACACTAAAAAAGAAACATGATCAAAATGTATCTATGATGCTGCACTTTAATGGCACACTTTGAAAAGATTACTTATCTATCGCAGGAGAGGGCTTCTCAGTTCCACGAAGAGAGCATACAAGATAAGGCGTTGATTGCCTCGTATACGACATCCTTCTTTCTGTGTAGACGAATATTTTTGTTTGCTGAGGAAAAAGAACGTGTTAGCTTTTACTTGACAGTCCGATGTCGCTTCTACCAACATGAAGGTGATTGTGCCCACTTGAATTAGGTGTGCTTCCTTATCATGAC